TCCAGAGTCAACCATTTTGAATAATATTGCATGAGTTCCTTGTTTTTTAATGCAGCATAGTATTCCATTGTGCGAATATACCACAGCTTCTCTAGCCAATCGTTTGTTGATGGAGGGGTCCAAATCTTAAACATATCAGGGGCCTGGTATAGAAATGAGTGAACAAAGCTAGCGGACTGTCAGACAGTAGGAAGTAATAGTGGCTGTGATCTTGCGAAATAAAGACCCAGTGTTACATGAACTTCCAAAAGCCAGCAATCCCTAAATCTCTACATGTTGACAACATATTTACTGTGCAAGACTAGACAAACCATGCTCTAACTTCTGGGAGAGGAGGAATTCATCACTAGAAAGAAATACAGTAAAACTTGCAAAAGCCAGAAGCTGTTAAAACTTAAGCCAGTCAGAGAAAGAAAACATAAGTATTTTCCACTATTAGAGAGCAATAAAGATGTAATAAGATTATACACTATCAAAGGCAGAAAATGTTCTGGATCTAAAAACACAAGGCAATCCTGTCATGTGCCAGCTTTTGTAAGTTTCACTCTACCTAATTCTGTAAGCAGTCCTTGGGTAGCACAAATGGTTAACCAAAAAGTGCCTGGAAGACCTTCTGAAAGGTCACAAAATTGAAAATACTGTATAGAACATATACTCTGCACAAATGATGTTGCTGTGAGTTGTAATCTACTCTGTAACAGCCAACAACAACATATAGGTCATTGATTGCTATGTTTGTTGTTTATGTAACATCAAGTCAAAACCAGCTCATAGCTGACTCTCCAGTGGATTTTCAGAGGAGATCGTCATCTATCTCCTGAGAAGCAAGCAACTGGTGGATTCAAATGCCTTTGGGTTGGTAAGGCAACTCCTTACCCACTAACCACTAGAGTAATTGATTATCTCTAGTGATTAGGAGCAAATAGTAGTAGATATAGTTATAATTTCTGATTAACTAAATATTAGCATTAAAACCATTATTTCAACTTTTCTTGTTGAAAATCCTCTTGAGTGTTTTATTAGATTATGAGAAAACTTAATTAGATCTTGATGTTTCTAGATGTTGCCTTGCCTCAAGGTCTTCATTTTGAGCACTGCCTCACTATATTGTAATAGAAGAAAGATAAACAGTAAAAGCTAGTCAGTATCTTATACTGATGCTAGAAAACAGTAACAGGGAGGGAATTTCTGTCTCTTCTCCTAAAACATACATACAGTAAAGTTTGAACGCCAGAACTCAGTGAGAGTCTGCCTTTATTCCTAACCTTGCAAGTTTTCTGCCTTTGGCAGAGTGAATGAAGTCTTCCTACTTTTGCATAACTCACCGTTACAGATAGGTAACCCTGGTGCCATAATCTAGGAACTCATGCTGCTAACCCAAAAAGTCTATCGCTTTGACAGCTGGAATCCATTAGTGGCTCCAAGGGAGAAAAATGGGCATTGTTTACAGCCTCAGAAACTCCTAGGAGGGCCAGTCATTAGTTGACCGATGACACGAGTGACTGAATATTTAAGGTAGTCCCGACATACATTGGGGTTTTATTCCAGCCATCTCTATTTTAAGTCAGTTCTGATGTTGTTGATTGCCTTCAAGTTAAGCATGACTTATAGCGACACTGTGAAGAAAAGGCCTGAAGCCCCTCTACAGCTATCAACATTTATCAAAGCTCATAGAGTTTTCGGAGGTATGTTGTTTAGGAAGTGGATGCCACCCTTGCTTGAGTATTTCCCTTTTCTTTTTCAGTTTTCATTATTATTTTGTTGTCAGTATCTTTAGAAATCCAATCGTTATTTTTCTTTGTGGGTTAGCTTGATAACATTAGCTTATGCTAGCTTAATAACAGTAGCAGATTACACACTGCAACATTGTGTATAGTACATATTACTAATAATAAAATGTACCAGATAAAAAATGGGCATCCCTACATGTGATTCATCATAATTCAAGTCATATGTGAGTGAACATATTTTTTACCTATAGTGAAAAATATTTTATTTTTCTAATAGTGTTCCAGCTTACATAGGCTCCAGATTTCAGAAGTTTTACTGTATTAGAAAAGTGAGAATTTCGTTAGTTGCTTGTTCGGGATGTTGATTTTTCTCATATTAATAATGTCTCCTAGATAGTGTTTTAACTAGGAAGAACATTAACAAATTCATAATATAAAATCATATTTGTATTTCAATCACCAACATTGTGTTGTGTCTCCTAGGTAATGTAGGTTCTGCCTTGACTAAAACAATTACTGGCTCTATATATTAAAAATGTTTCCATTTCTGGAAATCCAAAGTCTCTGTAGATTTTCATTAAAATTAATAATTATAAAAATTGTTTTTTCCATTTCCATAAGGCGTCAACATAAGATAATAGTCATCTGATAAATAGAAGTGTTTATTAAAGAAAAAGTCCTGATTCTTTTTTTTTTAAAAAAAAAGTCCTGATTCTTTTTTTTTAAAAAAAAAGTCTTGATTCTTAAGAAGACCTCCTATAATAAATTTTTAGTCCTAAAATTACAAATGGATTTTCTTTTTTTGCCATTAGACATTTCAGATCATGCAAAATTAATCTCTTCTATTTTACTTGGTTCTTATTAAAATTAGTGAGGAGAGAGAAGAAATATTTGTTGAGCATTTTTTTCTGTACTATTTAATTTCTTTTTCCAAACTACTAGAGGTAGGTGGTGTTGTTTCCATTTACATTACATTACAGTACAATACACTACACTACAGTATAGTACATTCCATTCCATTCCATGTAGGAAACCATGGCTCCAAGTAGTAGTCACCTGTGTGACCACAGCTAGTAAATTAAAAGTCCTGGGCACACTCAGGTTTGACTTCCAAGAACATGCTCCTTCCAGTGGGTCACACAACTCCTTGACACAGTTGTTTGTTGTTGTTGTTCTGTGCCGTCAAGTCATTTACGACTCATAGCGACCCTATATGTACAACAGCCCTAAACCCTGCTCTATCCTTTGCCAATCGCACTGCCTCTGACACACCCATCCCGATTACCACAGTCCTTGAATCAGTCCATCTCATAGAGGGTCTTCCCCTTCTGTGCCGTCCCTCCACTCTCCCAAGAATGATGTCCCTCTCCAAGGACCTGTCCCTCCTTGCAACATGTCCAAAGTATGTCAGATGAAGCCCCAGAATCCTTGCCTCCAAGGAGTTGATTGGTTTAATCCTCTCCAGGATGAATCTGTTTGTTTTCTTGGCAGTCCGTGGTACATTCAGTACTCTTCTCCAGCACCACAGCTCAAAGGCATCAATTCTCCTTCTGTCCTCTCTAGTCATTGTCCAACTCTCTGATGCATAACAAGTGATTGCAAAGACCTTGGCCTGTATCAGGCGCACCTTAGTTGACACAGTACACATTTTATATTAGCTGATTTCCAAAGAAAGTTCCTGGATTCTGGTATACCAAAGAGATCAGGTTCTCTTCCAGAATGTGGGTGATGCCTGCAATTCTGGCAGTGTTTTATACCCAGTGTTTTCAATGCTTTGAAATCCATTACCTGTCATCTTTCCTCCCTAACTGCCATAATGAACATCTTTAAAATCCATTCTTGATATTCTCGAGTGCATTTTCTTCATTTTATATGCTATTGTGAGAATGTGTTATGAAATTAAGAGTAAGGCTAAATTACTTTCCTGCTGAGAGTTCTTGTGGGTTAGTCATCCTATTTAGAGACTGATCAGAAATAGATTTGTTATAGAATCTCAACAATTTTAATTGAGTAGAGAAGGGCTTTGAGCTAAGGCAATTTAACACACACACACACACACATTTTTCTCCTGGAATTCATTCAAAGAAAGGATTCCCAGGTGCTAATGAGTTAGCCAACTGACTTCCCAGTTTGAATGGTTTTTACTTGCTAAGTCTTATAAATGAGTCACTTATCAATCTTCTTTTCTTTTTTCATATCACTAGGTGATCGTTATTCCAGAGTGGTATTTACTTCAGCTGGAGGTGACACATTATGGAATTTACCTGCAATTAAATCAATGTGCAGTATAGATAATTCAAGGGTATGTAAAGTCAAACTTAAATTTCATAACACAAATAAGGATATAATATTGAGCCGCTTTTTAATGCTGACCCTGGTGTCTGATCAAAAGAAGAAGGTACTTAAGTGATTGACCTACAAAGAATAAACACCAGCAAATCAGCTTTGCATTCTGTCAAAGTACCTCTTTACTTCCCTACCCTGGAAACATACTGTGTTCCTTATTATTTCACGGGATTTATCTTTTCAGGGTTATACCTTGGGCTTTTTCTTTTTCTTTGATTATGTGTCATTCTTACCTCCTTTCTTGCCCTTTCAGGTATGTACTGTTTCTCTTAGGTGCCCAGTGCTCTTGCTCGACACTTTTTAAAAAAAAAAACAACAAAAGCGACCTGGTTTCATTGTTCCCTAAATTTTTCCATGGAGTAGTTGTCAGCATCTTAATTATGCAGTTAAATGCCTATCTCTCTGACAACCTATAGATAATTTGTACCATGACATGAAAGGAAAATTTAGGGTCCAACTTGGAAAAGGAGATGACAAGGTAATACAGCATCGATATAAACTGAGCTCTGGTGTAAGGGAGCTCTGGTGGCTTAATGGTAAGGATTTACACTGCCAACCCTAATGTACACAGTTCAACTCTACTAGCTACTCTGCAGGAGAAATATGGACAATCTATTGGAGGATCAGCTATGGGTTCGTTCTGACAGAGTAATTCTATACAGTCTTAAGCTCCAAATGTTTCGTTGCTTTGGAATACTGAAGGGTGTAAGGAAACAAAACTTCTTTCTGAGTCTTCCCTAGAATATTGTTGTTAGGTGCTGTTGAGATGACTGTGCTCATAGCGACCCTGTGAACAGCAAGTCTAAACCTTGCTCTATTTTGCACTATCCTAACAATCTCCAGTGTGCTCAACCTCATTGTCATAGTCATTGTGTCCGTCTCTCTCATTGAGGGTCTTCCTCTCTTTCACTGACCTACTTTTCCAAGTCTTTTGCCAATGACTAGCCCCACCTGACAATATGCTCAAAGTATGTGACACAACGTTTCACCATTCTTGCCTCTAAGAAGCAACCTGTTTGCCCTTCCTCCAAGACACATTTATTTATTCTTTTTTTTCTTACAGGTAATTATCATTTTTATTGATTAAAAATAGGAAACCATAAGTGAAAGTTAAAAATCACAACATAATCAAAATGTATGACAAAATATGTTAAATATAATGCAAAAGACTTAAGCACGTAACGTTGTAGTGTAAATACAAAACAAGAATGAAAGAAGGACATTGCTGGGTGCTAAAATTCCAAATGGGCTTTACCAAATACTTAAATCCCACCCTCTCTGAAAACCTAAGACATAACTCATTATAAATGGAAACTACAGAACTCTTAACAAAAAAATCAAATAGATGTGAGTTATATGACTCTCCTTACAAGTACAATTTATTTCTCAGCAAACTAAAAGCCATTGAAAATGTAACTCCATCTCCAACAAAGAAAGCCAAACCTCGGCTTGGCTGGGGAAAGGCGAACAAATATGCAATTGTGTGGTAGATCCGTGCTCCAACGAAGAGTCTGAAGTGTAGGAGGGCAGTAGAGAGGCTTGGACCACTCAGTGCATACAGGAAGCCAATGCCAAGAAATGGCAAAATGTTCTCAAGATCATTCAGATGGACTCTTCGCACCCGTTCCACTGAGTCATCTGTCCGAAGATATTTCTTGGCATTTTCTCCTTTGCCTAAGTGTGCACAGTCTTCTGGATTGATAAAAACTTTTTTTGTCACCCTGAAAAATGCAGTTGCAGAACTCATAAACATCATCTTTAAAAGAACAATTGTTGCATAGGAAGTAAAGGCTAAGAACACCTAATTCTCGCCTAGTTGGGTAAAGTCAGCCATTTTTATTTTTCAATGTTGGTCTTGAATTGTGAATGCGAAGAGGAACAAAGCTGCTAACCTCCACTATTTATTCTTTTGGTAGTCTGTACAATCTTTGCTACTCTTCATCATCAACACCACAGCTGAAACAACATCATTTCTTCTTTTGTTTTCCTTGTTCCCTGTCCAACTTTCACATGTATATTCACAGTTGCAAATACGGTGGTTTGTGCCAGGTGCACTTTCATCTGTCAACTGAAATTTTTTGCTCCTTAGTAGTTTAGAGATATCCTTGACAGCAGATTTGCCCAATGTAGTGTGTCTTTTGATTTCATACTGAAGAATTTTGTGAACAACATCTTGAAAGATGTTGGTCTGATACAACAGCTAATCTCTCAACAGGGTCTCTCATTGGAATATTAGTGAAAAGGAGTCATGGTGTCTCCATGGCAGCAGTGTCTTCATGCTGATATACTGTATATACCCACCTACATGAAAAAGGCGCATGTGCATTTAAGCACATAGGAAACTAACCTGAGAGAAGTTTTCTGGGTTGTATGGTATATGTGTAAAAAACTGTGTAACAAATACGCTATTTGAATAAAACTATAATACTTGGAGAACTAAATGTTTTACCCAGGTCCCCTAGTTAGTTGATCACAAAGCTCCTTGCTTTTTCCCTCTATTGTAGCACAGCTTCTTGCCACTAGGCCACCAGAGCTCCCTGCTTTTTTCCATTCTTAATTCCAACAAGCTGTTTTATACATTTGGAAAATAACTTTCCTATTGATTGGGATATTGAGGTTTTCTTTAAGTGCCATCTTTTCCTCTGTCCAACTCTAAATACCTTCTGTAAACATAGCAAAGTTCCTTAACTTTTATTAGCCTTATTTTATTCTATTGTTCTCAGTTCAGAGACTTGCAGTATATTTCTTTTTATTACAGCTGTTAAACCTATTTATAAAGAAAATGAACTATGGAGATGTAATAACTATAGCATGCTTACTATACACAAGACTTTGTGATAAGTATTTTACATTTCTCACAAAGAGTCTGTGCCTTTCAAATTCATAATGCCCTTTGACAGAAGAGAAATTAAGCTGATCTGATTACTTCATAATAACACCTTAAATTGACTCTTACACCTCTTAGTCCTCAAGATTCTTCAGAACAATACACTTGATCCTAAGGCATATAGTTAGCAGTTCAGATTTCAAATTATTACTGTACTACTTTCAAATCTAAGCCCTTTTGGGATTTTTCTGTTTGTTGAGGATATGCATTGAGTCTTTAGACTCTTTGACCATTCTTTCATTTTGTCTCCCTCCACTTCTCTACTTAATTTATTTAAACACTTCATTATTAACTATCAGGTTATTTGAATAGAACAAAGGAGCACTGCATGGCTTAAAATCAGAAAAAGTATGTGTCAAGACCATATCCATTCTTAATACCTATTAAGTCTGTATGCTGAGCAAATCATTAGAGAAGCTAGACTATATTAAAAAGAATGTGGTTCAGAGTCGCGTTGGACGATCTGTACGGGTGGCCTACCCGAAGCTGGTGAGCTCCGCACCACCGTTTGTAGAAGCTTGAACCTGCCCCGCAACTTTTGTCTCACAACCATGTCCACTAATGAAAATGCTAATTCAGCAGCTGCCCGGCTTAACAGATTCAAGAACAAGGGGAAAGACAGTACAGAAATGAGGCGGCGCCGCATTGAAGTTAATGTGGAGCTGAGGAAAGCTAAGAAGGATGACCAGATGCTGAAAAGGAGAAATGTAAGCACTTTTCCTGATGATGCTACTTCTCCACTGCAGGAAAACTGCAACAACCAGGTTACTGTAAATTGGTCAGTTGATGACATTATCAAAGGCATGAATAGTAACAGTTTGGAGAGCCAGCTTCAGGCTATGCAAGCAGCTAAGAAACTGCTTTCCAGGGAAAAACAACCCCCCATAGACAACATAATTCGGGCTGGCTTAATTCCAAAATTTGTGTCCTTCTTGAGCAGAACTGACTGTG